ATGCACCGTCCACATTCCAGCCTGTCATGGACAATATTCTCTTAGGTATTTTAAACGAACGATGTCTTGTCTACATGGACGACATTATAGTATACTCTCCTACCATTCACGAGCACATTTCCCGTCTTACCGAAGTCTTTAAACGTCTTCGAAAGGCTAATCTTAAAATCCAGCCTGATAAATGTGAATTTCTCAGGAAAGAGGTGGCGTATCTCGGACATCTCATTACCCAAGATGGCGTCAAGCCTAACCCTTCTAAAGTCGATTGTATCCAACGATTTCCTGAACCGAAAACACCAAAAGAAATAAAATCTTTCCTAGGTCTAGCCGGTTACTATCGTCGTTTTATTCCCAATTTTGCTAAACTCTCTAAACCTCTCACTAGACTACTACAAAAAGACGTTACTTTTAATTTTGACCCAGATTGCAAGCAAGCTTTTGAAGATTTGAAAAACGCTTTAATTTCTGACCCAATTCTAACCTATCCAAATTTTGAGGAACCATTCGTCCTCACAACAGATGCAAGTGCATTCGCCATCGGCGCTATATTATCCCAAGGCCCCATTGGAAAAGATCTTCCTATAGCATATGCTTCACGTACCCTGTGTAATACTGAGACACGATATTCGACCATTGAGCGAGAGCTCCTTGCCATCGTATGGGCTGTAAAACATTTCCGACCCTATCTGTTCGGTAGAAAATTCACCCTAGTAACTGATCACCGTCCACTCACCTGGTTATTTTCTATAAAAGACCCTGGAAGCAGACTAGCTAGATGGCGTCTCAAGCTTGAGGAATACAATTATAAAATTATTCATAAACCGGGAAAAACCAACAAAAATGCGGACGCCCTTTCTCGAATTAAAATCAATCATTTTAAAGAATGTGCGAATTTTCATAAAAAAATATCAATATTAGCTTCGAACGATACGGAATCTGACGAAGAACCAAATGAAATCAATGAAGAAGAAATCACTGAACATTTTAATAGATTTGTCGAACTGTATAAAACTAAATCACTCATTGATTATTCTAAAATTGAAATATCTAATGATCAATTATTAGACAAATCGCATAAGAACATCATCACCTTTCTTAGACAAAATAAAATGGAAGAAATACATCACAAAATATTAGACGACGTCTTCGATGAAAACAATATAGATTTTAACTTATCTAAGATTAATATATTCGGTAGTAAAACTCTCAAAAATCGGAAATATTTTATCATTCCCCTTCCTTTTGATCCTGAAACAGTAGTACAACACCTATTCTATATCGTTTATGTCGCACAAAATGAATTTGACCTATCGCAAATCCATTACGTCGAAAATCAACTCGAATTACCAATTCTAGAAATATTTTCATTTATCTTTGCCGATAAAGAAATAAAACTGAGAATCTGTCAAGATGTTATTAAAACTCCAGAACAGGATGAAATACCCCAAATACTAGATCACTATCACTGTGGCAAAAACAATCTCCATCGGGGTATAAATGAAACTATACGAAGAATAAAAGAAAAGTATAATTGGCAAGGCATCACAAAGGATGTAGAAAATTTTATAAAAAATTGCGAAATCTGTCAAAAAGTAAAGATATGTAGAAAAAACTTAAGTAACCCGTTAGTCATCACCGAAACCCCTAAAACACCGTTCGAAAGAATTAACATAGATCTTTTCAAATACCCTACCAGAAATTACGCATTAACTATCCGAGACGAGCTCACTAAATTCACACAGGCGTATCCTCTTGAAGACAAAACGGCTAAATCAGTCGTCAATCATCTTATTATCTTTTTCCAACACTATGGCACACCATTACGCATACACTGTGACTATGGACGTGAATTCGACAATGCTTTGATGAAAGATCTTTGTGAATTGTACGACATAAAACTAACCTTCTCAAGTGTGGGCCATCCACAATCTAACGGTTCTATCGAAAGATTTCACGCAACCCTAAGCGAAATGATAAGAGCTAATCAAGCTGAAAATCCGGATGAACATCCGTTCAATGTTCTGCCTTATGCAGTTATTTGCTACAATAACACAAAAAACAAAACCCACGGATTTACACCATACGAACTCATTTTCGGACATACTTCTTTTAGACCACCCGAAATACTTTACAATGAAAAAATCCTTATATCAAAATACGTTAGAGACTTAAGTAATCGAATGCAATATTTCTATAAAGTGGCACGAGCCAAGACGGAAAGACAAAAAGAAAAGGCTAAAGAAAGATTCGATCAACACGTGTCATCAAACCCTCCAGAATATAAAATAGGCGATAAGGTTTACGTCAAGGAATCGCAAATTAAAGATAAATCCCAAAATAAATTTAATGGCCCTTTTGAAATCCAAGAAATTCACGTAAATTCTGCTACTTTATTAAATACCCAAACCAATAGAACAATGAAAGTAAATTTTGATAGATTAAAACCCTATCATGAGTAATTTTCTTTCAGATTCCTCGGACTGATCCCAGTCATCCTCTCCCAGTATACGTTAACTCCAATCAACAACACTGTTGGAATCTTTTTTCATGAAGAAACCAATCTCAAAATTTCGAACGACAAATGGACCCTCCTTGTATATAAAGACATGCAACCAATCAGAGACGTTATCGACAAAAATGACAAAATCTTAGAAAATTTATTGGATACCATTGAAGAAGATGTACCTCGAATGCTGGCATTTAAATCCGAAGTCCAAACTCACATAAGTCTTCTCAAACAAATCTCTAGTTCTGTTAATCTCAAATATACAGAAATAATGGCTGATACGAAACAATACACATTCCGAGAGAAACGCGGACTTATTAACGGAATAGGTTCGATATGGAAATCAATTACAGGCAACTTAGATTCGTCAGATGGCGAATATTTCAATGATTGTATAAATAAAATAACCCGCGATGAATATCAAATCGAAAACTTATTGAAAAATCAAATATCGGTTACAACTTCTGTTATTAAAAACTTTAACGCAACAATCCAGAAATTACAAATAGATGAAGAAACATTCAACAATAATATTAAAGAAATTCGAGAATCAATAATGGATATCTCTGACCAATTAAAATTCTATCAATCTCAAATCGATATGCTAAACTTTTGTGAATTACTAATGGAAAGCTATTCATTTATCGAAGACTCTTTAAATGAAATAGTAAATGCCATAACCTTTGCTCGATTAAAAATATTACATAGCTCAATCATAACCCCGTTTGATTTAATTGAATCGCTAAGGCATATATCACAATCATTACAAAAAAATAATCTTCCATTATCAATCTATACTTCAAATCTAGCTCAATATCTCGATATTATCGAATTGCAAGCCTATCAATTAGACACAAGAATTGTGTTTGTCTTAAATATTCCTTTAACTGATGCAGAACAATATACCTTATATCGTATCTATCCAATACCAATACTGGATAATCGAACAGGTCTTCATTCAATATTAACAACAACAAATAAATACATTGCGCGAAATGATGATTCATTGTTATACCTTACAATAAATAGCCTTGAGTCATGCAAAACTTTGCGAGCTCGAACCAAGATCTGTTACAACACACTTTCATACCCAATCGACAGCGATGCCATATGCGAAGCCCAACTTCTGAAACGACAAGAACGCCTTCCCAGAACATGCCAGACTTCCGTAGTATTTGCCAAAGATTACAACGTCCAGAAGATCAACATAAACCTGTGGCTCATAACAGTTTCTGATCCACTGCCTATTACCATCAAATGCGAATCCAGAGACGTTAAATCGGAGATTATTTACACAAACCATGTACTCAAACTACAACCCACGTGCGATGCCTTTATTGGAAGTACAAGAGTACACTCTCAGAAATTAATCGACGTTCATGACAATGTTACATACAGAAGTCACCCAGTCCAAATTCCATTCAATTGCTGCAAACACTTCCCAGATAAAATCCATCTTCCCGACTTAAAACCACTGAAGCTTAGCAGAATCAATACTGCAGACCTCGAGATAGCCCATCACAAACTCAATCAGTATTCTGAAGAACTCGATAAACTAATCAATGAACCGTTTGTCAACAAACATCTGAGCTGGTTCACCATTTTTACCATAGTTGTCATTGTAACTCTTGTTGTTCTTTATGTTATATGTAAATGCAGATCCAAGAGAAGATACAGGATAGGTATTGGCAATACCAATGACAATGACCATCCGCCCTCTCCACCAAGACACCCAGAGACAGCCTTTACCCGGAATTGGAGGAAAATCCTTCCAAGACGAAGACCCAGTATCCACCTAAGCGACGCCATAGACGAAGAAGAGCAGATCCAACTGAATACCAATAAACAGACAGTCTAAAAGTTGCTGCCACGCATCAACTTTCATCTAAAAGGGGGAGCTGTTATATGCATTGTACCAACCGATGTTCCTTATCACGACGATTCCCAGGGTATCAGGTTCCACTTCCAACAACCTGAGCCGATAAGAATCCTTGAAAATGCAGTACCAGCAGAGTCAGCGGGACCCAAGCTTTTTACACGTTCCCACTGAGTCAGCATTTACTAATATTATAAAACCGCTTGTCGCTCTTAATTCAGTATTCAGTATATTTTTGTAGTTCATTCATTATATTTTATATTTCATTCATTTTACCACGTAACTTGTATTTTGTAATTAATAAATTTTTTAAAAAGTCAAAAAAGTGTTTCGTGATATAAAATATATATATATATATATATATATATATATACATATATATAATTTGTAGAACTGCTTAGTGCTGGTAGGTGATATGAATGATGTGAATTCGATACACAAACACATAATTGCTGAGTTAGGAAGGCGAAAGTATATATGTCCCTCTATAAACGACTGAATGAAGAAAATTAAATTACTCTACATAGTGTTATTACTAGAATAGAATTTTGTAGTAAATCCTTTAATTTTGTATTCGTCTTTAAAACTGTTAAAAACTCTAATATATTTATTTTTTAGATATATATTTGGCAACTCAAAGATAACGATTTAATTGGAGTAGCATTTATAGATACACAAGTCTATACGCATCAAATACTTACTATTAAAAGTTTGCTTTTGGTTGGTGATGTCTACAAATCTATAGCGTTGTTAAGGTTTCAAGAAGAGTACCGAACACTGTCAATGGTGTCTAGAGTAAGTATTTGTTTAGAACAAACAAGTAAAGTATGGTTCATAGAACAGTTTAAAACGCAGACTTGTCCTATGCCATAATTTAAGTAGAAGTATAGTCGAAATATTAGAGCATGCTATTAGATAATTTATTTATTCGTTACGTGTCTATATCACCGTAATCGGGAGTATTCTAGAAAATTTTTAGTAGTGTAGTTTGTAATTGGATATCCAGTCATACAGTTTAGATTATAGATATATGCATGATTTAATCAATCTCACTTTTCTAGGATTTTAAACCAAACGAAGTGTATTCAATAGAATACATGATAGATAATTCGTCACTAGGATTTCTGGTCTCAGATGGAGAGAAAAATCTAGCCATGTATATGTATCAACCAGAATCAAGAGAATCTTTAGGAGGTAAACATTTTGTATATCTCATATTACTTGAATGGGAATTCGATAGATTTGGAAATTTACATGTTTAATCTACAGTTTCGATAAATAATTGACAAAATATAAATATTTTGTAGGTCAAAGACTATTAAGGAAGGCAGATTTCCATTTAGGTCAAACTGTCAACACATTCTTTAAAATTAAATGTAAACTAGGTGAACTAGGCGATGATAAAAAGCATTTTTCTGGAGCAGATAGAAGGTTTATTACAATGTTTGGTAAGTTATTTGTCAATTTAGGAGCTATTGTTTATTGTCTTCACGATATTACATAATCGATTTCCAAAAATAAACAGAGAATACATCTATGATGTGTATGTTTAAGACCATATACGTTGTCATTCTTTATCTTTTTAGGTCTTTTGTTAAACGTAATAAGCAGACTTTTCGAAGGTTGTTTAGTAAGACTATGAAATACATTGTCCTTTGTAACGTTAACTCTTTCTTTTATTTCTCCAAAATTATTTTTTATCGTACAATGTGTGTGGCATACGGCGGGTAATCAAAAAGTTCTCGGACTGATGCTTAAACTTTATTTAAAAATATTATAACGTGCTCAATCCAATGTTGTCACGTTGTTTATATAGTCCGTGGATTTCAAACATGTTCCCCGCCTTGAATAAGGATGCCTTTCAAACTTAAAATGTATCTATACTAAAAGTAACTCTTAAAACAACAAAGTAAATGTTCTTTAGATTTTCACTGGTATTGGACAAATTTTTGAAAATTATCTCTTGATCATTCCATCTGTGGTCCGTATAGTAGCAACTCGAGCTACTCCATCGTTGCCAACATGAAGATTCTCCACATGTCCTTTTTTTATTTCAATGGAGGTTGATGGTCTTGTTTAATTATGACTAGGAAACTCGCTCTCAATGAATCGTAAGTTAACTTCCACTTATTTCTTTGTTGGAGTTCACTAACATATTCCTTGCTCCAACGCTGCCATATATGTTGCCTGCCTTTAGAACATCAGTAGGATGTTCTATCCATAAGATTCTTTGACAATTGATAATCTGGCTTGCTTTAGCACACCATGATGAGGTAAATAACAAGCTACCTTGTTAGATTCAAACTCGTTGACTTTTTCCATGTAACCTGTAACGACTATTTTGCTTACCACAGGGTAAGAATATGGGGGACAAGATTGGGCAAACAAAATAATCGAAACAAGTGCATACGGACACTCAGTTGGTTGTTGGAGAGCTGGGTCGTGGATAAGTTGAAGATATTGGGGGTTGGATTGGGCAACTACAAAAAAAAGAAATAAAGGGGTACTTATACAAATCTCTTGGGACAAACAGAATGAAAATAAACGAAAACACCTCAAGAAATTTAATATAGGGCGCCACTTGAGGTGCCCAATTATACCTATTACAACCACTAGTTGTAACTAGGGAAATAATTGTATAACATCAAAAATATAGAAAAAAGTATCTTTTTCAAATAAAACTCAAAATAGATCAGAGAAACAAATTAAACATTTATTTTTGTCTTAAACAAAACAGATCAAAAATACATATTATAAAAGAAACATATCATATAACATAATACAAATAACAAAAACTTACATGTTCTTTGTTTACTATATTATGGCCAATTAGATTATCAAAAATTAAGGATCCTTCTTAATGAAAACATATAAATTTAAACTTATATATGAAATATCGTTTCTACATAATTATCAAATTAAAATTGTCATAACAAAAAAAAAACAAATTAAACTTGCTGTCAGGTATCACATTTAATTTTGATGACAAAGAATGAAAGCAATTATTACTTTAGCCAAAAAAATATCTGTCTTTACTTTGAAAAATTAATATATTGAATTGTTACCTTAATGTTTTTTTTTTTATACAAACACTTTGAAACTTTGCATCTCTGGGGAAGCTACTCGGACAAAACTTTCAAAACTGGAAGGCAGCAACCATCAGGAACTAGTTCTACACTCCAGGACAAAACGATAGGAACAGGAACTTGGTGGAAGAATCGAGCCGACTACGGGGACATCCTATATCATACTTCTTTAAATATTTAGTAGTTACCCTTTTCAAAACCTGTCTTATTACAGAGGGTAATTGTTCCTCTAATTAACAAAATTTGTCGACTTTTTTCTTCGAGAAGTTCTTCATCACTTCCTCTCAAATCTTTTACTCCATTCCCACATGTCTGCCCCGCTTGGAACTTAAATCTCGACTACTTTATCACATGTCTGCCCCTCTTGGAATCTAAATCTCGACTCCTCTTATCACATGTCTGTCCCGCTTGGAACTCAAATCTCGACCCCTCTTATCACATGTCTGTCCCGCTTGGAACTCAAATGTCGACTCCTTTGCTTCGTTACATTTTACAAGAAACTCGCCAAAAATTTCCCTTCCGTCTTGCAGCTAACCTGTCCCCACAAACTCAAGAACCAAAACAATATCCCCTCGCTCGTATCGACAAAAAACCTTTTAAATATTCCTTTATTGCGTTTTTAGACGCCAGTATTGGTATCCTAAATAAACAAATATTCTTTTTGACTCTCATTCTAATAACGAAAAACAACTTTTTGTCAACTGGAATATTAGGGGGAATTCATGTAACATAACACCTCTTTGGCGACAAAAAACTGTTTGTTTCTCCTAACATTGCAACACAGAGATAAAAACATATTTCCAACGTTAATACGCATTTAAAAATCTCGTCAAAAAAAAAACTTGAAATATTTACAACGTACCTACATTTAACTTTATTGATCGATTTCTTGGTAGAAACAACAGGGACGTACCATAGAAATATTTTATATACACAATAAATAAAAAAAACGCTACAAACCTAATGCTTCGTATTCGTATATGAATGCTTTGTAGATCTCCACTTATTGTGTATCCTTAATAAGTCTTCGCTCAAGAGACATGAACCTGTTCTTGTCAATTTCTAATGAATAGCCCAATCCGTAGAGAGAATCCTTGACTGCTATTGAAACTATAAACCTTCCTTTGTTATCACTTTGGTAGTATTTTTGAAATATTCTTTACAATATTTTCTTCAAAATTAGTGGATAGAGGCGATAAGTTTTCCACTTAGTAGAATCTCATTAATAAATCTTGGATATTTTCTAAATATGTATTATGGACAAAATTGCAGGAAATGGTATTTTTTGTAAGTTAAGGTTCCGATACAACCCATCCTAATTTAGTCTTTTGTAAAATTGGATTATTTTATGCCCAAATTTTTATTTAATTATTTTTGCCCAAAGCTATTTAACCAACTTAAAGTATATTCCAAAACAAATCAGAACCGGTTCATAATTCAATTTCGCTTTCTTTATAACATGTTGGATTAGGTAAATTTACATGTTCTGGAACTGAAAGTTTTGATTTGTCAGTATTTGCTGAAGGCAAACTTCTACTTATTATATCAACTTGCATGTATAGTCAGTATGAGAGTCTAAGGTTATAGCACGTTTATAATTATGTTTGATGATACATTATTAAAACCTTTAACACAAATATTGATCTTTTTCCTTTGAAGTTTTAGTTTATCACAAAGGGATCTCGAAATTAAGCTAGATTACGCCCCACTGTCTAATAATGCCCTTGCAATATGCATGTTACCCTCCGAATCCGCTGCCTGTACATATGCAGTTGTTAAAAAAAATACATGATTAATAGAAATGCAGGCGGATAAAACAAGTATTTCACCTTCATTTACTTTATGTTCATGTTCAGAATGATGTGTAATCTTTTCTATGACAATTTTCTATGACAATCTTTTTTAAACAATTTATACAATTTCAACATTTTTACCTTTTTGTCTCTATCAAGCACGGATAAGTTTAAAAATTAATCGCAATTTTGCAAATAGTGATTGCCTCCGCATGCGATGCATGATCGGCTATCACTCGAATTGTCAATTGTAAGAAATCTTCTAAAAATTTTTCACTCCACCGTCTGATTTTGCTGAATAGTTTTAAGCTTATCAGCCCTTAAAAAAACATTTTACATTGTCAAATTTCTGTTTTTCTAAATCAGCCTTCACATTTTCCTATCCCATTAAAGTAACACCGTCCAATGTGGAGGTAATTTAGTAAAGTAAAAGTGTGTCCCAGTGCGAGACAGGTTGTTTTAACTGATGAAGAGATCTAATATTTTTACAGAAATCATTAATAAGCTTTCTTAAAGTACTTGCAGATTCTTTACTTACCGATTCGCTAATAAATAATGCTATAATATGATTATGAATTAACAATTTATTATCATATCGTTCTAACAATGCATTACAAGCAACATTTGCAGAAGATATTTCAAGACATTTAATTAGTAAAGAAGCATCGCCTTTTAAAAATGCTCTTAAATAATTAAATCACTGACCAAGTCATTCTCGTGAATTAACAACCTAAATATGTCCCTGAATTCAAGCCAATTTGAGTACGACCCATCAAATTTAAGTAAATTAATTGATGGTAGACGTCACTATTTAAAGCTACTCTATTTGCAGACTTAATATTTAAACTTTGATTTCTATGATAACTGTCATGATTATCTTTGTGTTTACTTAAAAATTCTTTTGCAAGGAAGAGCTGATCATAAATTTCATCATCGAATTTATTTCGTACTTCAAATTTGTCCTCTAGCAATTCCTCGTCAACCATAGATTCCATTGTCCCTTGTATATTTGTGTAATTCTATCTTTATTCCATTCAAATAATTAAGCGTTTCATGAATCTCAATTTATTCTATAATAATACCTGTTTCTTTTGCACAAGCATTAAACTATGGCCGGGTTTTAACAATGGTTTTTGACCGGTAACAAGGAAAACTTATATTTATTCTTTAATCATTAAATTCTTCTAATCACGCTCTACTACCATTTATGTTGTTGAATTAATCGAAGTTATTAACTTTTTAGAAGACAGTGATTGCAAAATAAACTTTATTTCGAATGAGTATTACACATAAAACAAGTATTGAAATCAAAATTAATGAAAGGCGTTAGTATTGTCTTATCGTCGAAGGTCGTCTCTCAGCTTCTCTACCGCTGGGATGCGCCGCTCCACTGTCCGTATCTATTTGGCGCAAAATATTACGTTGTTTATATAGACCGTAGATTCAAATACAGTCCTTCCAGCAGAAGGAATGATTGTGCAGTGCTTGTGGAATACTTTTTAGTTGCTATAGCGATTTTTTTAATGTTTTAGATAAAGTTTTTAGATTATTGATGTACCCCGTTTAACTTTTTTTTATTGCAATTAAAATAATTGGTCGAAAATATTCACAAGTTAAATCCATGTGTATTCGATTACCCTTTACTCTAAAATTACACTCGTAATTGAAGAACTCAATATTATTATGTTTTATCGCTTTTCATTGACAGCGCAAATATCAAATTTAACGAATTTGTATGGCAATCATCTGATAACTACATTGCTGTCACATAACCAAATTAATGCAGCAACCCTCAAAACTAATAGGATTTGAGTTAATGGTTTGTGTATTAAGTATCATTTGAATATTATTGAGTAATAAATGTTATTTTACGTAAATATTTTCAAATATATAAATTGTAAGTGTGGCTTATCTGTTGTACAACTACATTGGTAATTAATATTTCAGCTACTTTGGATGGAGGTATAGGATACATTATGCCAGTTCCAGAGAAAACATATCGTCGTTTACTTATGTTGCAAAATGTACTAGTTTCTCAAGGAGCTCATATTGCCGGTCTAAATCCCAAGGCTTTCAGGTAGGTCATGCACTAACTGTAATTTTATAAAGAGCAAAACTAAAATAGAACTACAAAACTACACTGAATTGGTAATAAGAGACATCGGTAGCCACAGTTTGCCAGTAGACTATATATAGGATATGTTCTCCACTTTTTTTTTAATCATTTAAAGATATTTAACTACTGTACTTGTCTCTATCACAAATGAGAAAAACTATCTTTCTCTTTAGTCCTGACTCCCTGAAGGGAGTGTAGTGGTCATCATGATGTCATGTATTGTCCATCTCCAAAGATCTCTGTCTCTGGTCGTTTCTTTTAACTCATGTATAAGTCTTTTGCATATTCCTGTAATTTCATAGATCCATCTTGTTGAGGATCTTCCTCGTAAGCTTCTGTCGCTAAAAACTAAAAACGGATTATACCTTACAATTCCAAAATACGGCATACAGTTCTGCTCTTCCTAACGATTGTGTTGAAAATTGAATTAGAACAATGTGCCACCCGAAGATATTAAAGGGTACTGCCATTTTGCCACAAAGATTGGGGATTCTTGTCGTTTTGTTGCAGTTAGATAGGGGTAGGTACTTGGAACTTAGACAAAATAGAAAATTAAAATTCAAGGAAGTAGGTAGTGAAGGTAACTTAATATAATGATAGAGATTGGCTTAGCACACAAGAACAAATTTAGATGGCCAAAGAGACTCAAAATCTCAAGGGAGGATTCTAGCTAGCTGTTCTGCACTGAGGCTTGGCTTTTAGATAAAAAACGAATATATTTTCTTGTAAGAACGACCTATGAAAAAGACTTTTTCCAGTATAAATTCTAATAAAATTAGATAGGGCAATTTTTTAGTTTTAATAAAGTTTTAAAATCCATCTTACTCCAAAATTGGTACAAATAATGAATTCGAAATTTTAAATAAGCTCCAAAATTTTCCCGAAATAACTGGTAATGTCAACCCTACCGACTATCCTACCACAAGTTGTAAAAACTGAGTACCACGTCCATCTACCCAACAAACTAAAAATCGAAAAGCAGTCTCTCTCGTTTCCGTAAATAAATCCCCCATTTTCAAAATAAAAATATAAATTTAAATCCTATTATTCCCAATCCCCATAATATGTATTTTTAAAAATCTGTTTAAAAAATTTTATTTAGTAATCCCAAATCAACAAATACTACCAGAGAGACAAACAGAATTAACAACAATTTTAGGTACAATACATTACAGTGATTCTGATAGTGACGGTAATTATTATTAAATGATAAATATAATGCAATGGGATTGTAACTCAATTAATAAAAATAAACCCTGCTTAATTTTCGAATCAACAGCTAATTTTGACATATTTCTAAAGGAATCTTGGCTATCTTAAAGTAGAACATTCAATTTATCAGGTTTTAATATAATACGTGTAGATAGATCAGATGGATACGGAGACATTGCTATACTTATAAAAGATTATCTAGTTTTTAATGAAATTCCAATTCGCAAAAATTTCCCTTCTCAAATATAAGTTTGTGCGGCGTATATTAATGACCATAAAATTTCCTTAGTCTCTTTTTATAAACGGCCAAAAATACAAGTAATTAAAAATGACTGGACTAAACTTTTTCACAACTGCAGGGTGATGTTGTTATATGTGGCGATTTTAATTCTCATCACACTCGTTGGGGCTCCATATTAGATACTACTCAAGGAAAGCGATTGGTAGAGAGTATTGACAATACTAGCATGATTGATGGCCAATGAGGCCATTGACCAAGATAGACAGACCGAACGAAAGACATTATTTATCTCACTTTAGTTTCTCAAAGTCTCGTTAGCCTTTCAGAATGAAATTCTATTAACGATAACCTTGGATCCAATCATTTTCTATTCATATCACACTATTTCGAGAATACACTGCCGCTAATATCATACCTGCCAGAAAATGGATTGGATCTTCAGCTGAATGGATTGTTTTCTGAAACCTCATAGAATCACAATTTGATAAAAAATATGATTACAGTAATTCCTTTGAATTCTTAATCAATTTAATAAATGATGCAGACTCAAAGTCAATCAAATCTTGGTCAAAGATTTGTAAAAAAAACACCAAATCTCGTCTGGTGGGATAATGAATGTACTATAATTGTTAAAAACAGAAAAGAGACCTAAGATATCTAAAAATAACAGAAACCTTGAAAATTATCTCAAATTTAAGCATATTCAAGTCAAAGCTAAATTGATCTTTAAGCTAAAGCAGCAGCTATGTTGGAAGAATTGTATTAATAAATTAAATAAAAATACCCTAATCTCAAAAATTTGGAACTTAAAAAAAATATCTAACAAAAATTTAACTTTCAAAAAACAGGTTATCTCTGAAGAATTAATAAACCAAATTTTTGATATTGTAGCACCTAGCTTTGTACCATAGGATCTAAAATCAATACTGTAAATCACTATATGGATACGCATTTCAGCATTGATGAACTAAAAGCTGCAATTAACACCTCTAGATGTTATGTCCCTAGTCATAGTCAAATAAAATAAAATAAGTATATAATTAGGTTGAGTTTACCGAAATTACTGTCAATCAGTTCCCAGCTGTTCTCCGCGTGTAGAGTGGATTCAGCCATGTGTTACCTCTAGTCAAATTTAACTTAATACTGAACATCACAGTTATTTTACAACACAATGTACAATCTTTTATAACTAAATGTAATTTAAAGGGTTTTTACCCTAGTATTTTGGTGGCTCAGGCATTGTGACCTAGTAAGTATAACCATCTTTTGCTTTTCAACCATAGTCAAAATTTCATAATCTCGTTTGTTTTAACTAAATGGTTTATACTTATTTTTAGGCATTTTTCGATTTTAAAACCTGATGATGGACTGTGTGGTCCGAAAACGTTTGTTTTATTGATGTAGCCCTTTTAAGGGTTTTTTAAATAAATATACCCATTTACAAAGACTAACCTCTTTTTTTTTTATAAGAAGTATTAATTTCAAAATAGATGCACAATTGAACAACAGAATGCAAATGGTTGTTGACGTTGTCAGATTTTTTTATCTAGGACGCAACACATGATATTCTTCTTCTTCTTGATGTGCCTATCCGTTACGAATGTTGGCGATCATTATGGCAATCTTTATCTTATCTGCATCAACGCGGAAAAGCTGCACATATGTTGTATGTGCAGTATTTAAACAAATTCTGAGGTTCTTTAACCAAGATGTTCTTCTTCTTCCTGGACCTTGTTTTCCAAATATTTTTCCGTGCAGGATGGCTTAAAGGAGAGCATAGCTGGATTTATTTTGCGTAATATGTCCGAAGAATTGTAACTTTCGAGATTTGACGGTGGTCAGTACCTCTCGGTTCTTATTCATTCTTCTGAGGACCTCCTCATTTGTGACTCGGTCAGTCCACGGGATCTTAAGTATTCTCCGATATAGCCACATCCCAAATACTTCCAGTTTTCTTCACATATCTTCGTTCAAGGTCCACGATTCAACACCATAAAAAAGGACAGAAAAGACATCGCAGCATTCTTACTTTTGTATCAAGAGAGAGGTTGTGAATCTTGAAGAAGGCCCCCATCCGATTGAAGGTGGATCTAGCTGTTCCGATGCGTGCTCTAATCTCCTGGTTGTTGGTCCATTCTTTATTTATTATGGTGCCGAGGTAGTTGTAGTGCGTCACTCTTTCTACAGGGGATTGGTTGACGTAGAGTTGACCTGTTATCCTTTTCTTGCTAATTATCATAAGCTTTGTCTTCTTGACGTTGATATATGTTACACATAATCAGAATGCAACACGACAGATGTGGCTACAAGATGCACAAATGAGGTAGGAAGTTATTCCCACCCTGTGACTGGGGTCAACTAGAAATCAACAGACACATCACAGGACAGTGCCCTACAAGATGGCAGGACATAGGCCTGTCATCATATCCTGCCGGCCGTTCCTAACGGCGACCCCAGAATCAATACACTATATAAAAACGACAGCCTGTAGAGAATTTAGAATGAAATTTAATACAAAGAAGACAAAAACGATGGTCATCAGCAAGCACCAAAACAGAAGGGTGAAGGTCAATGTCGACGGAACAGATCTGGAAAGAGTAACAAGAACAACATACCTTGGAAGTAATCTTGATGAAACTTGGAACCACTCACTAGAGATAAGAATACACTGCCGCTAGAAATCAAAAGTATGAACTGCTCCAACTTATAATCGAAGGCAAAGTCAATAGCAAAAGAGGACCAGGAAGAAGACGCAACTCTTGGCTTAAAAACCTACGGCAATGGACGAACATGACCTCCATAGAACTATTCAGGGCTGCTACAAATAAGATTAAATGGGCAAATGTAATGGCCAACGTCCTTAAGGATAAGGCACCGTAAGAAAGATATAAAAATGATTTAGATATACTTTTGTAAATTTGTAACATGTGTATTGTGCTCTATACAATGTATTTATATGTCATAAGCCATATGATAAATAAATACAATTTTACAGAGAATATATCTGGTACATATTATCAGATGCTTATCTTATCATTAGTGGCCCCTTTGATAAGATTGTGGCACATTGACCAATAAGAAGTTTTCTCTCATTGTTAATAATTTTTCTTTATATTTTTAGGACATTTAAAAGTTGGAGAAAACTACAAAGTAACCCAGCTAGATCTATAATCGATGGGGATTTAGTGTGGAATTTCCTAAATCTTTCGCTAACAGAAAAGTCAGAGGTATGGTAAACTTTTCTTCTTATATATTTTTCCCACTAATTTAATTTTACGTCATCACTGTGTCATCACATTTTCTTGCTAAAATACTGCAAGTCATAGTATAACTAACTGATTAGCATTTTCCCCAGTCTAATATGAGATTTAAAATATGGTGACGTTGCTGTCAATAAATTGTTTATCATCCATCTATTGAATAAATGAAATTCAAATCACTCAGAAAACACCTTAATTTATAATGCCATAATTTTTAGTATTAAAAATAATTAAGTTGTAACAATAAAACACTGAAAACTTTGTTTTCAAAACTTCCACATTTATTATAAAATCTTAACACTACAGCTGTTTCCGCTGATTGCTTAACAGAAATTCCGATGTCAAAATACAACTTTGAGACAGAATTAAATATTATTAAGCAAATAACAGTAAACAATGAATACAACGAATAAACAATTCATAAAATTTTCAATCAAAAACTACACAAGAAAGCCCTGAAGTTAGTATTTCCACCACCAGAGAAAAAATCCAGTACCTTCTGCTCGATTACATATACAGGCAAAATATCAACAAAAATCGCCAAGTACATAAAAAGAAAAGCATAACACCAGCTTTCAGAACAAATAACGACTTAGGCAAATATATTAAAAACAACAAGAGTCAAAATAAAAAGCACTTACACAGTGGTGTGTACAAACTTAAATGTGGCGACTGCCCAAAAACTTACATCGGTCAAACTGGTAGAAATTTTAATAAACGAATAGTAGAACATAAAAGGGCTTAGAATTAGTAGAAAAACATATTCTACATACGCACTTCAGCTTCTAGATTATAATCATTCTTTTAATGACGAATTTCAAATTCTTTGCATTCAAAATAAAGGCCTTAAGCTATCTTTGTTAGGATCTATGGAAATTAACAAATTGAAAAACACATATATAACTCTGAATGACCAACTTGAGACAAACAGTTCTCCCCTCCTCAACATATTTCATTAAAGACTATAAAGTGTAAACGCATGACAAAAATAGATCACTTGAGAAAGGCAATCAGCCGAAACAGCTATAATGTTTATAAGAGTTTATAATATATGTTGTAGAACTTTTGAAAACAAAGATTTCAGTGTTTTATTGTTACATAAAATGAATTTCCATTAAGTAACAGTCGAATCCATCAATTAATAATTAAATTGCTTGTGAATTCATATATTATCAGTCACGTAAATTCTGGCTATTTTCTTGCTTATGCTTTTTTTGCATGTACATAGACAACACAAATATAAGCTATTATATTGTAATAGCAATATAGTCGCCGATAGATAAACAATTACCATAATTTTAACTTTATGCCTTTTGTAGGTAAATAAAAAACACTCCATTATGCCATATGGTGACCTTTATATTAAAATTTTTAATATTTTGGAGGAAAAATCTTATATATGAATATCTAATTGTATTGATTTTCTTTTTAGGTTTCAAAAAAAATTGGTACTAAAATGGAAGAACTTGTTGAAGACCTTACAGATATACATAAGCTCACAAATCATTTTTAGAATAAGTTTAGTTTTGTAATTTGAATAATACAGTGTTTATAATTAATTATACTTTATTTTTTCGCAAATGTTACGTTGATGAACGACTACATGATTCCCTTTGTTTGGTTATGTTGTTAGTTGGAATAATATAACGAATGAAACTTAGCACAATATACTAAATTACAAGAGGAAGAAATAAAATTGCCTAAAGAAATGCGACGATGCAATTATATGTACAGAAAATGGACGTGATCTTCAAGGACTGCTTAAAACATTTACAATAATCGAAAAGGAATAGAACATGACTATTTGTAAAAAATAAAATGTGTAACTAACATCTTAAGCATAGTGAGTTGAAAATGGATAAATAAACCAACAGTTCAGCACCTGTCTCAAGACTATTCTTAGTTTAGTAATCCTAATATTATCCCCCTCAAGTGATTCACACTCGGAAATTCGAACGGAATATATTTTTACTTCCGGAATATTTTACTACAGAATAAATAGTAATTAATTTACTACAGAAGTCATGATTTCCCTATAATTTGGTCGATTTTCAAGAAAATCTTTCAGTATAATTGCCTGAAAAGATTTGCCTACCACTTGATGCCTTATAATCTTTTCTATCTCTATCAGGTACTACACCTCAGCTCCGCGAGTGTGTGTCAGAAAAAATCGAGTGGTTAGGTGAAGACCCAAGTCTTTAAATAGGTCACCGTGATCCTGGTAAATGAGTCTCTGACTTACGTAATACCAGTAATACTGTGACTGACACCGTGACAAATTTTGAGGCTACGATGAGTAAATCATCATCTTTGGCTCGACAATCCTCTGTGGATCTTGGCCTGCTCTAAGATTCGTCGCCATTCTGTTCGGTTTTTGGCAACATGTTGCCATCTTCTGATTTTTAATATTCGTAAGTCGGTTTCCACTCCTTCTAACCACCTAATTCGCGGTCGGCCTTTGCTTCTTTTTCCTACAGGTGTTCCTGTGGTTACCTTTTTAGCAATCGTATTTTCTGGCATTCGTATTATGTGTCCAGCCCATCTAAGTCGCTGTGTTTTAATGAACGTTGAGTAAATACCATGGGTAATTGGACTAATGTTCCAGACTGTTTTGGAAGCATAAATCTCTTATTCCGGGCTACGGACGGAGCGATGGATCAGCGCAGAGGATAAAATAAAACGACTTTAACGGCTGATCGTGTGACCAAACATAAAGTGGAGTAGTAAACGCAGGTCCATTCGTGTTTCTTGAAAGAAAAAAATTAAAACCATCGCTTCGTGCGTAGAGCACAAGAAAATACGCGTCACTCCTGTAGTGCTGTGTCCCGTTTTTTTCTTTCTGCAAACCATTTGGTGTACAACGGTCGTACTAAAGCCAATTGGCTTATTGTACATCTTCCTCGAAGTGAAAATCGATTCAAATAAGCGTTTTTTCAACTGAAATTTTGGTTAATTTCAATTAAAGATACTAAATAATTTCTTTATATACTCTAACTGCTCTATCACATTTCTGTTAAGATTAAGATATATGTCCATCCTCTTTTTATTGTGCATGAAGGTATTTTTATGAATAAAAGAATATTCAATACACATAGTTTATTTATCAAAAATAAATCACAGAATAATCAACTACAGTTGAGCTCCAAAATGATCAAAACCTAAATTAAGTGGTAAGAACAAAAAATAACAATTTTGTTAAAATACCAATAGGCTGCAGAATATTTACAATGTTTAGATTAATTGTTTCAACTATCATACAAAGCAAATGTTTTATTATTTGCAAAAAAAAACATTGTCGTAAAACCCGGTTTACACGTATCCAGTAACTGGCACCAGTCTCACTCACTAGCATACCAGTGCTTGACTGAAGCTATGCTTTGTTAGAACAGTGAGCGACGCATAACTCACAGTCAGTCGAACGCCGGACACGTTCGTCAAAATCAAAGAAATGGTTCACTGTGATAACGGTTTGTTAGGTTCTGCTGGGCTACGCGCACTGCAGACCGATAGCCATGTACGTCGACGGTATGCGCTGGAATCAACTGTGATTTGATTTGGACGCAAATGTTTAGCTGAGCTCACAACGTACACATAATATACCGAAATTATAATTGTATTTTTATATAGTTATTAATATTGTAATAATTAAGTGATGTCTACTTTTCTCCCATTGAAGAAAAAAGACTAGTAGATCTAGTACAAATTGCAGTTCCAAATAAATCCCTTTAAAGTCTAAAATATCCTCGAAATTTTTCCTCGTTTTGAAACAATCTTTCTTCGATTGTTAATTTAAAAACACCTTCTGTATTAAGACATGAAAAAATTTCATTTACATTGTTATTTCTTTTATTTACATTTAACGTTATCAACTCTTCTTCTTCCTCCTCTTCTTGGAGTAATAAAATTATTGCATTAAGTTTGCGAGAATTCATTTTTTTAAATGTACAATCTTTGAGAGAATAAACTTGAAACCAATTTCTAAACTTGTTTTCAGAGCGACAGAATATTTATGCGAATTAATCTAACACCCAAACTGCCGTGAGTCGAGTACAACAGATTCTGCTGTGCGCTGCGCACTGTTCTAACAAACCATAGCTTTACACAGCGCTAGACAGGCACGTTTACACGTATCCAGTACTGTCACGCCCGTTCCTACTCAGGTAACGTCAGTCGGTTGTTGTATTATCAGTGTCGTGTTATTTTTGTAAAAATGTACTCTAGCAACTGGAACAACGTGTTTACAACCGCTGGCGCGGAGTTAGAGGGGCGTGGGACGCAAAAAATTGTTTACATGATGCCACTACCATGCCAACGCTATCGTGCCAGTTACTGAATACGTGTAAAACTGCCTTTACTCTGATTCTAAACAACATATTCTATAAGTAATGTAAAAATTTTGGACTTTTTTATGTTTTAATCATCGAGCAAAAAGACAGAAGAGGGAATGTAAAGGTAGTGGGGGCAAAAATATTGTTAGATGGGAAGTGCCATTTTGAGAGGCCACATTAAGGAAAGAGAATCTCTTTCCTTGTTTAAGAAATCAAATTTAGTTGGGCTGTTATTGTTTATCCCAACTGTCAAGTTTTTTGACAATTACAGTCACATTTTAGACTATTATCGTTAATATTTAATTAAAACTTTCTCGTCTAAGACACATTCTGAAAAATATTTTATAGCTACTGCTTTATGACCTTATAAAAAAACATAAAATATTTTCTTAATTAAAACAATCATTATATTAAAATTTTCAAACTTTGTATTAATTCCATTAGATAAATTAGAACCCCTACACTACTGTATGATTATTGTGAAGTGTCGTAAAATTTAAATTTGGCGCCTTTGCATTTCCGGATATGTCCGCCATAATAAGAGGCCACTTTTACGAATTTTGGTCTCCTTTTCATAACGATTAGATTCCCACTTTTGTCTTTTTGCTGGATGGTTTTAATAAACTTCTTCAGATATGTCAAGTTTAACTGAAAAATGTCATTTGTATTTGTATATTCTTTGTAAATTGTCATAAAAAGGAAAGTAAGATAATTGTATGCTATTTCACTAAAGCTGTTTACACTTATAACCGAAGTGTCGTGTAAATATTATACTGGAACTAGAATTTCATACATATGCACGCCAACAAGTTACGATTTACTGATGTTCGTCCTATTTATCAAGAGTATAATGAGATAATTTAGTATGAAACAGAAGTTTAAGAGCATAAAAAAATAAAGGTCAGTAGAAGCAGAATGTCAAGAAATAATGAATCAGTTGTCGAAATTGCTCTAATAAAAATCCATTTCGCGAACCACTCAGACGCCGCACCTACATAAGTTTGTTTTTAATACAGAAAAAGCTCCTTATTCGCGCTTTCTTCATTCGCGGATCGAATCGGTACATACATATGCATAAATAAAAAGCATTCGGTATTATTTGCCAATGCATCAGCAAATGGACTAAAAAAAATTGACCTTACAATTACAACTACGCCTAGATTGTTTTCAAAACCTATATGCGTTGTTTGTTTGGTTCCGCGGTTCTTTGAGGTAAACCGCTTTTTCTGATAAGTTTATTTTACCTAATTAGAATGTTTAGTAAGTTTATTTTACCTAAATGTTTAGGTAAAATAAACTTATTATTCAAAACCAAGTAAATTCTGCTATAATTGAAAAAAATGTGATCGAGTAACACGTCTCTTCCGTTGTTTTGCTAAGTTATATTGTCGACTAAAAAAAATGAAGAACAAGTTTCGATTCGAAAAAATCAGTGTTAACGCTTATAGTGAAAATAGATATAGGTAATGGATTTTGACAAAAGCTATGACCTTGTAAATAACACGTAAACTTGGGTACTGTATCGCAATGACTCATAGCTCTTGCCAAAATCCATTACCTCTATGCTTGATCGTTTATGCCTTGGAGAAACGGCCGGCAACCAAAAAAGGATGTCTCTGAGTGGTCCAATGATCGGGAAGAAAGAAAAGCGTCTTTACGCACATTTTAAAGAACCTGTTGGTAGTGGTGATGGTATAAGGATAATATACAGATGGAGGGTTTCACGCATCGGAAGGTTGGTTCAATAAATTTAAAGCCCAACAATCACTGCATAGTATTAAAATCGTTGGAGAAACTGCATCTGCAGACACTGCTGCAGCAGAAAGATGTGCAGAAAAATTTGCGAACGTGGTAGCTGTTGGAGGATGTGTATCTGAACAAATATTTAATGCAGACGAAACTGCACTATTTTGGAAGAGAATGCCAAATAAAATATTCATTTTTAAAAGCGAAAAGTCTGCTCCTGGATTTAAGACAGCAAAGGATACAGTTACATTGCTGGTTTGTTCTAATGCATCATGCATCTCTTTAAATCCTCGTCCGTTAAAAAATCAAAACGGACGACCTGCTATTATTTAGGCGTGCTAATAAGAAAACGTGGGTAACAAGCGCTATTTTTTGTGACTGTTACAGAATTGTTTTGTTTCTGAAGTTGAAACTTATTTGAAATCAAAGAATTTAGGCTTTAGAGCAGTTTTAGTTTTGGACGATGCACCAGGTCATTATCG